GGTCCTATCCAGCCGCGCGCTTGCATTCGACGGTGGGCCGGGCGAATTTAAATATTTTTATAAATTAATATCTCGTTAACTATTACTGCAATCGTAAAATGATACAGGACTTTTCGACTCAGTATAGTATGTTCTACACACCCATGAAATATTATGCGGTTATTCTCAGCCACCCTGTATATATATATATACAGTATACACACTCACTCACAAAAAAGCGGTACTCTATAAATTTAAGAAAAATTTACCAAATTTCAAATGATCTAACTTGGTAAATAATGAAGATAAAAATATGTTTAAAACAGCAAAGATGAAGCTTGAAATGTCTACTTTAAGATTATTTGAATGGAATTTGTGCTAGGCTATTATTTTCAAAATGGCGAATGACAATGTAAGAACATGCAAAATTAATAATCAAAGATCCAAGATTTTGCGATGGTGCAAATCAGGTGTCGTTACTTAATGGGACACCCGATTCACACCTAGTGTAGGTGTTCGCGCGCGCGCACACACGTGGGAGTGAGAGAGAAGGGGAAGGGAGGGAGAGAAGGAGGAGATTAATAACAAATGTGTTTGTTAATTTGAATTAATTTTGTTGTTTACTATGTACAGACAGTCACTGGCTGTATTAAAAACAGCTAAACAGTTAAACCCCAATTTAATTACGAAATCATCGATAATGCTGGGGTTAGGTGAAACTGACCAAGAAGTCGAACAAACTATGCAGGATCTAAAGAATGCTGATGTGGATGCTATAACATTGGGACAGTATATGCAACCTACCAAAAGACACTTAAGAGTCATTGAATATGTAACACCTCAGAAATTCAAAGCGTGGGAAAATGTGGGGAATCAATTAGGTTTTTTGTATACTGCCAGTGGTCCATTAGTTCGATCATCTTATAAGGCTGGAGAATACTTCTTAACAAATATATTAAAACATCGGAAGAAACAGCAGACTGATGTGTGACTATATTATGAATAAATATGTTATGAATAAAAAATACGAGAATGTAGATAAATATTTAATTGAGACAAAATAGGAAATCAATATAAATAATGAATTTGGAAATACTGTGCGAAAAGAAATTCCATCACAATTTAATGATAGAATGATCTGAATAATAATACATGTAACATTACCGTTAATTGATTGATAATAAATGTTCTGTAGTAGATTTACAAAAAAATTGACATTTAATCTTAAAATGCAGATTTATTTGTAAATTGAATGCATAGAAAGTTTAAAATAATTAGTTTATACTAATTTAATCCGTATCCATGGCGATGGTGACTTGAGGATCCTGAGGACCTTCGTCAGCTGGTGGATCTTGTGGAGGTTTGTCATCTTGCACAACTGACTCGGTAGGTTTTCCACGTTTATCGTCGCCTTCAATCTGGGACAAGAACATAGCTGTCGTGGTTTCGTTGAGAATAGTGAAATCAGAATCCTTTCCTACTATTCCAATGGATACATTCTGAAACATGCGAAATAAAGCAAAATTTAATGTTTCAAATAAAATTTTATAATTTACTGTCCATAGCTGCACATACTATGTATATCAATAGCGTTTGGAATTTCCGTTTTGAAATTTTTAATAACCTATGAAAGATAACAAATAATATCACATAGAATCTGCACGCTGAAGCTCATAGTTGCACAAATCGTGTTACTAAAAGATGATAGATCAATGTGCGTGCTTACATTACTATGAGCTCGATCATGCAAATTATATGCGATATTACTGATTATCTTTAATAGGTCTTAATTCAAAAATTATTATGACCTTGACGTTCAAGATTTACTATTTGCTCTATATCCAGAATATAATAAAAAATATATATGAAAACGGACAATAAAGAGTCAACGCTGTAATTGGTGCATATTCTAAAATTAATAATTAATATTTTAAAAAACATAGTGTAATTAATAGTACACACACATATATATATATATATATACATAATTGTTTTTTTATTGTAAATCATGATTTTCACCACCAATGATAGTTCAAAAATAAGAATGTTTGAAGATTTATTTGTGTAACTACGGGCTATTAATTATATTGTTTTTTTAGTATTTATTAATAATTTTGGAATATGTATGCACCAATTATAACATTGATTGCCGGTTTTTTTTACATTAACTTTTTTTATTATTTAATCCAGATCCAGAATATATGCTAATATTGTATATCAAACAAATTTTTCGCAATATATTTAAATTATTTACAGATTTTTAATTATATTAGAAGCATTCAAGATCTAGCTTGACCGTAAAATAGCTTATTCCCATCGATATTGTATGTTATATAGGAGTTGTAAGACACCCTAATAACAGGATTTTATTTACAGTAGAGAACAAAAAGGCACGACTCTATTTTGTTCATAATAATTATTGTTTACATATTGTTCAACAGCATAATACATTTTTCACACTCACGTAATGTTTTGACAATCGTGGTACAATAAAAAAAATGGATAAATTTTACATAAAAAAAAAATAATGTAAAATCAAATTTTTTCACATAAAATTTATCTTTGAGTCATTTATAAAGTAAAAAAATCTATGCATTAACATGTTGTTTTACTGAGTATTCTCAATTACCAATGTAAGTACAAATATGAGCAGAAATAATTATCTATAGTGAAGTCTATATTGAGTCATACAGAATATAATTCATTTTAGAAACCTATTTTAATAAGATATGAATCAGATCAAATCTATACTTACCTTCACTGATAAATCAACTTCGTTAGGTAGAGTATCACGTAATGCTCTAAGGCCATGCTTAACTAACTCGTCAAGGTCGCACGATAAGAATTCATTTAGATGTTTTTCCAAATATGTTCTTGCACTTTGGGAACGTGCTCCTATAGCCATTGCTTTACAGTCGAAGTAATTTGCGGATGGACATGTCTGATATATATGTGGTCCTTTGTCCTAGGAAGTGATCATTATTAGAAAAATATATTTGGCATATATGCTGAATTAGATATTATTTTTAATAAATTCTCACATCATATCCAGCTACAAGTAAACCGACGCCGTATGGTCGACGATCATATCTTTGTGTGCACGTTTGCATTTTATTTCCCAGAGATGTAATCAGACGACTCACAGGTAAAGCATGGTCATGAGCATACTTGTAATTCAGACATTCAGTTCGCATATACCGGCTGCAAATAATAATTTACTATCTTAAGTTATCTTTTTTATTATTACTAACTGTACTATATTAGTTTTCCACAAAAAATCTATGATGTAATAATAACAGGTATTTGATTCCTGGATGTAGAGTTGGATGACTAATTAGAAATTTATTCCAAATTTTACAAAGCTATTTTATATATATATATATATATATGGTATATATAGCTATTAGACATATGCTATCAATCAATTAAATTATATTAACCGCCATTATGTATATACAACAAAACACTCTTGTTCTTACTCTCTCGTGTACAAACCTATATCTGTATGTACACCCTGTAGTAGTCATCAATTAAAGCTATCTCATAACATAGTAACAAATATTATAAAACATAGCCAAAAGATAAACATAAATAAAATTTTAAAATAATTTTTTCTTTTATTAAAAAATGTGTTGGAAATACTTATGCATAACGTATTAATATTTTTTATCAATTTAAAATAACTTTTATCTAAAAAACAGAAGAAATCAATAAACTACATAATGTGATAAAATAATGGATGTTAGATTCTTTTTGCATCTAAGTGTACATACAATAATAATAATATAGTGGTGGCAAACTTTGGTACAGTAAAAGGATTAAAACCATAATTAAAAAGAACATCTTATTACATACAAGGATATTGTATCTTTTAATTGAAATAAAGACTGGAATAGGAAAACCTCAGGAAAGAAAATACCTCAATATTCTTGCATCAGCTGTTAAACCTGAGATACTAATTCCCATGTGTTTATCTATCGGTATAATTTTCTTCTGATGAGCTGATAATTCTGACGATGCTCTTTTGAGTGCAATTAGAACAGCATGTGTTTTACTCTTAAGACCAACAGTAGCTGATCCTAGTTTCACAGCTTCCATAGCATATTCCACTTGATGTAATCGTCCTTGTGGACTCCATACTGTTACATCACTATCGTACTGATTACGAAACTAAGAAACATAAGAAATAATCAAGTTAATAGAAATTATTAATGGATTTAATATTAATTAATACAAGTCTTATTTCTCAAAATTGTTTTTATATACTATCCTAGTTGTGTACCATACTCCAAACAAATTTAGGTACTTTTTTTGGTAATTATATAGTTTAACTTTATTGATTTTTTAGATATAGAAGGGTAGGGATAAACTAAAAATATAATTATCAAATTATCTTAATTTGTATTTGGCAATGTATATAAATATATACATAATATGTCTATTTAATTGATCGTCTTGATGCATACTGTAGTATCAGCTTAGTACATCACTTTTTATATGCATTGCCGAAAAATTTAAGACAATTTAATTATATATATATATAACGTAAACTAGGCTATAATTATGTGTATTTCTACACTGCTATGTGCAAATATAAATAACCATAAAAAATAGTTATCTGATGTACAACTACTTTACAATAACTTTATTAAAATAAAAACATCGAAGCACGATGGATCAATAATAATTAATTGAGTATTTACCATTTGTTTTAGCAATCCTCTAAAATTAACAAACAGTAAGTATTACTCGATCAAACTCGCAGTTTCGTGAATCAACAAACGTGAGTACCAAAAAGTACTTGTCACCCTTGCTCACTCTTATATAGAGTCCTATATATAAAGAGAAGCGACATCGATGTCCGAGTTTCTGATTGGCAGTCTGATATGTATTCTGATTGGACATCCCCTCCTAAGTAAAGCAGCCATAATATTTCCTCCATTGGGCGCATTCAGCGGACTCAACAGTTGAGTGAGCGCTCGCTATTTAGGTGTATTCTTCCAGATCTAAAATTCTGATTGGATGATCTAAAAGAATACACCAATAACAGCGAATAATATATTGACGCTACCATGATTTACTTCTCTTTTAACCATTTAGATTTGCCGCGTAAAGCGGGGAGCACAGACTTTTGCATAACGCATAAACCATATACATAAAGAGTCTGATTGGTCCATTGACTCATGCATAAGAAAATGGGCCAATGAAATTCCTTTGCACATGCTCTATGCGTTATGCAAAAGTCTGTGCTCCCCGCTTTAATGATGACGTAATGATGACGTCAGCTGGCTGCAAAACTCATTGGTTGTCTGGAGCTATCATGCGCGTGAGCATACCCTTGTATTTCTACCATGCCATTAGTTACTACGTGATATCAAAATCAAACGTAGGTCTGTCTTTAAATTACTATATTATATAAACATATTAGGATACATATTTGTATTTATTGAAATGCGAAACGTATATAATAACCACATGTCGTTTTTATCAACACTATATCTGACGACACTTTATTGACGAAAGGTAAAATTATATTTACAAATTTATCTCTATATAATAATGTTTGATGACAGATTTCAAATTAATTGTTATTTCATTGGCTTAAAGATAAATTCTATACCATGCAGAGGTTATATCCGGTATCCGAATCCAAAATTTTGATTTTTTTGGATACTGGATCTTTTAATCTTGATACATTATTCGGTTTTGATTAAAATATATTGTACATGTTTTATACATTATTTTTTAACACTTGTATTTGTTTTATCAAATTAAAATATTTTTTACTAAATTGCGTGGCAAAAATATAAAACAATTAGCTTGCAGATAGCTATTTATATTAAATAAGAATTTATTACTTAAGTTTTTAATTAAGTTTTCATTATAGATCATGTGTCGAACAATGATAATTATAAAAAGATGTTGGCTCACTGGAGTTTTAAGGCTGTTACCTCATAACACGTATTTCAACCACAAGCTATTAAATTATACAGCTGAGAATTTTAGGCCATATATGAATGTTCATGTTTTTTCTACAATACAGTGCAACAAATACAAGTATGAAGTGAGTCCAAATATACAGAGTAATATTTGTTCTTTGTTAAGGATAGAAAATATATCGACTCATGTCAAGTTAGTAAGTTTACAACAAAATAGATGTTTAAGCATCGCCACAAAGCTAGTCAATAATGCTTCGCCCAAAGTGCAACCATATATGAAGCTTATGAGGATAGACAAACCGACAGGTAAAATCCAATTACTTAATCATATCTGTTATAATTAATAAATTACTATATTCAAGTCTTTCCTAAATTTTCTGTTAGGAAGCTGGCTGTTATTTTGGCCTTGTGGATGGAGTATTGCAATGGCTGCTCCTGCCAGTGCCTTACCAAATTTCTATATGTTAACACTTTTTGGTATGGGTGCATTTGTAATGCGTGGTGCAGGATGTACTATAAATGATATGTGGGATCAGGATATCGACAAAATGGTATAATCCTCTATATTATTTTAATTTTGTTTTGGTTATCACTAGTTATACAGTTTATTATCCTCTTTATTGTTATTGATCATTATTTATATAAAGAGTCCTCGTCATTTTTCAATTTAATGTTATTATCCTAGGTAGTGAGAACACAGGATAGACCTTTGGTAACTGGCCAAATAACGCCAAAACAATCGTTAATATTTTTAGCTGGACAATTGAGTCTGGGATTGCTAATATTATTACAATTAAATTGGTACAGCATATTTCTCGGTGCTAGTTCATTAGGTACTATATGTTTATAATTTTATATTTGAAATATATTTAAACTATTTATGATGCATAATATATCTTATTCTTTCCTTTTAGGTTTAGTAATAATTTATCCTCTCATGAAACGAATAACGTACTGGCCACAATTAATTTTAGGAATGACTTTTAATTGGGGCGCCTTATTAGGATGGTCAGCTATACACGGATCATGTAATTGGTCAATTTGTATGCCACTTTATATAGCTGGTGTTTGTTGGACTATTCTATATGATACAATATATGCTCATCAAGTAAATATAAAAAAATGTTAAAAATTAAAAGTATAGTAAAAATATAATCTTACATCACTCTCATCAATTTCTGTTTGTTGTATTAGGATAGAATAGATGATATTCAATTAGGTATGAAATCAACCGCCATAAAATTTGGAAAAAATACAAAATTTTATTTGTCTGGTTTTGGAATAGTAATGATTGCTAGTTTAATTACCTCTGGTATAATGAGTACTCAAACTTGGCCTTATTATACTGCCATTGGATTAATTGCAGCACATATTAATAACCAGGTTTAAAAAATTATGAATTATATATTATATTAATTTAAAATAATTGCGCAATTCTGAATAAAGTATTTTTTTTCTTTCAGATATATACTTTAAACATTAACAATCCTACGGATTGTGCCAAAAAATTCATATCTAATCAGAAAATAGGCATGATATTATTCACTGGGATTGTGTTAGGGAACTTAATAAAAAAATCAGTACTAGAAAAAGAGAATAAAGTCAAAGAAACAGAACAATAAAAGCATCAAGATATTGTACTAGATGAGATAAAAAAATAGATATGATTTATAATTTAGTAAAAATTTTAAAATAGCACTTTTTAATTGTGTAAAATAAAATTGAATAAAACAAAATAGATATTAAAAAGATATAAATTCTGATGTAATTTTTATGTTATAATTTCAAATTTCGATATTTTTAATATCTAAATTGAAGTATTATAAATTAAGTACATTTTTTATATTTTTAATCGTAACATTAATATAAGTTTAATCACTCATATTTCCAAAACAAGAAAAATTTCTGAAAGCTAAAGGAAATTAATAATAGAAAATAGATTGTAATGTTTAATTGTAATAATAGTAAATCATCTTCATTGTATAATGAAATCTATATTGTGTTTGTGATAATAGATTATTTTAAAATAAAATGAAATAAGGAGAGAAATATTGCAATAAAAAAATCACATGTGTCTATAATCTTAATTATTATTAATAATTCTTACAATGGTTATTGTATTCCTTATCAATCTCTATTATGTAATTCTTGACCAAGTTATTTTCTTTCCTTTTCTTTAATATGTTCAATATATTTATCATGAGTTAACGTTAACACAGACTGTTTGAAATTTTCCAAAAATTTTATATTCGGTAATATTATAGCCAAGTATCCACCTTTATGTGGTAGTTCCTTGAGAAGTTGTGGGTTTTTTAACAATACCTCGTTAACTTCCACTAATTTTCCAACTACACAGCATTTGATAACATATGTTTGTCCATCCAAGCATAATATAGTACAGATATTCGAATTAATTTGCAATGGTTGGGCACCATGCTTACTCTTACCCGAGACTTTGTTCAAAGATCTATCCAATTTGTCGCTAACTTTAAAGTCTATTTTCTTTATAACTTTGTTGTCTTGTAAAATAACATGACTGGGTGCCAAGGACAGCATACAAATACGATTACTGTGAATCCATATACACGTATCATTTCCTAGTGATTGTAAATCCATTTTGTAATAAGGGGTAAAATAACGATCGGTAACAGTAGGAAAACAACCACTATATTGTACTTCGTCTAACATATCTGAGACATTCTCGTCAGGAGGAAATACAAATGACTCGTCATCACTATCAACAATCGCTGATACCTCCTTATCACTATTATTCATTAATTCGTCATGTTCTTCCTGGTTTTTAAGAAAATCTTCTCTTGCAGCAGTAATATCTTCAACTGCATTTTCTTCTATATTGTTTTCTTCCTTCTCACACGATTTCTTTCTACAATCGTTTATGAATTTCAATCGTTTGGTTTCTGGCTCATCAGTTTCTGATTCCAGATTCATATTTGATTGTTGGAGTATATATTATTAAGTATATAAAATTCAATTTTAATTTAATCTAGTTGTTAAAAGTAACACACACACACACACACACACACACATATAGATTTCAACAGAACAATCAAATCAGTTGTATTATTTCTGTGAACGATTAGTCGTTGTTACATTCTAGTTGTGCCGATTCCGTTGTCTCTAATCTATTTCGCCGGAGACGTGAGTTTTCTGTCCTTTGAATTTCTCTCTGCAACAAACAGCGGAATTATTTATATTAATTTGAAGCGGAAATCGGAGACTTACTTGTTCCTTTATGCATTTGATCATCGCTTGCTGAATATGTTCGCAGTAACCTAGTAATCTTCGGTATCGATGCTGCAAGTAAATACAGAAACAGAATTTATGAGATGACACCATACAGATACTGGACGACACATAGTAAAATTTTCGAGTAATATTACCTCATTCTCACAATCCTGAAATTGGCGAAATATCTCGTTACAAGCGGTATTATGTGCGGCCAGCAATTTATAGTTCATATCTTTGCTTTATCAAAGTCATTTTGCAAAATCATTCATACTTCTTATTACCCCGGATCTACAATAGATTTTTAAGCCTTGTACCATAAAAGATGGACGAATTACCCGAATCTACAATAAATTTTTTAATCTTTAAAAATGGAATTACAGTCAATTATTCTCTTCGTATTCAGGGCTGCCGCACACACCTTCCGTAAATCCCATGGCACATACAAAAACGTAAGGCCGTAAACGTAATCAGTAAGCGTTTTGGCCAATCACAGTTGAGAACGTAAGCAGCCGTCGCTTACATTCTCAACTGTGATTGGTCAATTCGCTTACTGATTTCGTTTACGGCCTTACGTTTTTCTATGTGCCATGGGCTTAACAGTAACCATAATACATACCGTAAGAATTAGCCAATCAGAATTAAAAGTACAAAAGAATTCTCGATTGTGATTGATTAATTGTGATGATAAAAATTGACGAATAGCAAGCGAATATGACGCTTGCTATTCGTCAATTTTTTGTCACGTGACCTTTTTTGTCGCTGGAACGGCCAGTTTCAGCAGCTCGTGAAAAGGTACCTTAAAGCATGTGAATAAGGGCTACGCAGAATAAAAGGAACAGAGAACAGAGAATAAAAATTTCAACCTATCAGAAATCATATACTGTGGTACAAACAGTTTGTATTCCATAGTACATGATTTCTGATAGGTTGAAATTCTTATTCTCTGTTCCCTGTTCCTTTTATTCTGCGCAGCCCTAAGGAATTTCATTGGCCCATTTTCTTTTGCATGAGTCAATGGACCAATCAAATTCTTTATGTATATGGTTTATGCCTATGCAAAAGTGTGTGCTGCGGCCTTTAAGCGGGGAGCACAGACTTTTGCATAACGCATAAAGCATGTGCTTTGATAAAGCAAAGGAATTTCATTGGCCCATTTTCTTATGCATGAGTCATTGGACCAATCAAATTCTTTATGTATATGGTTTATGCGTTATGCAAAAGTCTCTGCTCCCCGCTTTAAAGTTACTCGCATCAAGTGCATGATGTAAACTGGACCATATGTATATATATATATATATGCGCCTCACGCCCTAATCGTGACAGTCATATGATTTTGTAGAAGAGGACTGAAGAAGACGAGTCTTGATATCTAGTTTGGCATTGGTTTTTTTATGTGAACATTTTTACGTGAACGTGAGGAAATTTTTATCTCGAAATGAAAGGGTGCCTGTTCAATATCGATGGCGGTTACCTGGAGGGTTTGTGTCGTGGTTTCAAATGTGGCATACTTCAACAGAGCGATTACTTAAATCTAGTTCAATGTGAAACACTCGAAGGTACTTAATCGATTCACTTAATCTTTCTAAAGCTTTAAACGCATGAATTTAATTAAAAAAGATATTTAATGTTTTTACAAGGTGTATAATGTTTTACTTTATATAAAATAATAAAAATATATTGATAAATTTCGCTCGTTTTTTGCGATCCAATTAATTAAATAATTAAATGGTCTAAATCGAGTTAAATGGATTTAATATAATCATATTAGATTTACAATATTAAAAAAAATTGACAAAAAATGTTGTGCATTTTGGGACTCACAAGTCCTTCTTCAGCGGTTATTACAGATGTTTGCGTCGTTGATAATATTCTTATAAGCATCTTACAGACATGCTGATATCTCAATCATAGTTTGGATTGATTTTCTTGTTCTCAAGTGTATTATCTAGAGTTAGATAATTAGTTGTCGTCAATAAAGATAGTCAATGAGATAAAATAAATTAAAATGATTAATTTAGTCAAGATAATATTGAATTTGATAAAAGAATAATTAAGTTAAGGATAATACGTCAAGTTTAATATAAAAATATAGTTTCAAGAATATTCAAGAAGAAACTAAAATCTTTATCAAACACATAAAACTTGTTTTTTTTTTTTGCTTAAATTAATTAATTTTCTGTTTAGATTTGAAGCTACACTTAGCTGGTACAGATTATGGCAGTTTTTTGGCTAATGAGCCATCTCCGCTTTCTGTAAGCGTGATTGATGACAAGTTGAGGGAAAAACTGGTTGTGGAATTTCAGCATATGCGTAATCATTCAGTTGAGCCTCTGTCTCAATTTTTGGATTTTATCACTTATAGTTATATGATTGACAATATCATTTTGTTAATTACTGGTACTTTGCATCAAAGACCTATCTCAGAATTGATCCCAAAATGTCATCCACTTGGTAGCTTTGAACAAATGGAAGCGATTCATGTTGCTGCCACACCTGCCGAGTTGTACAATGCGGTACTAGTGGATACACCTTTAGGTATTAGAATTGTATTTTTCATTTGTATTATTTCATATCCTACCATATTGTGTATTTATATATATTAATATAAAGATGAGTGTTACACAATATACAATAGTTACCTCTTTCTATGAAATGTAAGTAACAATTGTCTTGTTATAGCACCTTTCTTTGTGGATTGCATTTCTGAACAAGATTTAGATGAGATGAATATCGAAATAATAAGAAACACGCTTTACAAGGCATATCTGGAAGCGTTTTATAAATTTTGTAAAGAGCTTGGTGGTACAACTGCAGATACTATGTGTGAAATACTTGCTGTAAGATATTGTATTTCAATAAAGTAATAAGTATTACTTTGTAAAATTATACTTTGCTTTTATCTTTGTAGTTTGAAGCAGATAGAAGAGCGATCATTATAACCATCAATTCATTTGGCACTGAATTAGGTAAAGATGACCGTGCAAAATTATATCCACGCTGTGGACGTTTGAATCCAGATGGACTGGCAGCCTTAGCAAGAGCCGATGATTATGAACAAGTAAAGGCTGTAGCAGAATATTATGCAGTGAGTAAAAATTAAATACATAGTTCAATTAGCTAGCACCTTGCCTTTACATGAAAGTAAATAGAGCATGTGCACAATAATACATTTAATAATTTTATTAAAATGTATTGACTCATCCAATAATGTAATTCAATGTATAAATATTGCTAGTAGTGGAATCATATGGTTGTGCCAACTGAGATTCAAACCCAAATACATATGAATATTACCAATAGATAGATATGAATGACAATTTTCAAATCAGGATGAAAATACAAAAAACATTTCAAATTATTGAAAGTGAGGGAAAATCATAAAATTTTTTATACATGTAATTACAATCATAGTATTTTAACAGGAATACAGCGCCTTATTCGAAGGTGCAGGTAATAACCCTGGTGACAAGACCTTGGAAGACAAATTCTTCGAGCACGAGGCAAGTACATTTGTTAGAATATAAAAAAAATATTCGTAACATCTAAATATAATTAGTAATTTAATGTTAATTAAAACACACACGCATGCACACACACATGTAGGGAGAATTTTCCTAACTCCGAAAGGCATCTAATACCAGACATTAACTAAATCTGTGACAGTTAAATCTCTTCCAAGCTGTTATTCCGCGTAAGTCGTACATAGAGGAGATAAAGCAAACAACCGTTAAGTTTTGATACATTCTAGGCTGCGTTCGAAAATACTACCTGAGTGCTTCCGAATATCATTTTATCTTTATTATACATCGTATATTATACAAAGACAAAATAATACTCGGATGTACACAGCTAAGAAGTGCATCGCATAAATTATACATTATTATATTTACCAATGAAAATGGAATGGTTTCGAGGGGGATGTGTTTTGGTGACATTGCCTCTGTTAGGTAAAGGCATCAAAAAGCTATGAAGGTCACCTCCACTTTTTAAAATGGAATTACGTGACTTTTTTTTTACATAATATGTATTTCTCTTCAACAATTTTACATATAAAAGTACAGATATCAAAAAACAATAGTTTATGAGATATTTAATATTTTATAAAATTTAATAATTTCAAGTTTTTTAAGTTTAAGTTTATTTTAATTATATATATATATATATATACACACATACATATATGTATGTACATGTAATTTGATTTTAATTTTTTACATGTACAGGTTCGTTTAAATGTCCATGCATTTCTTCAACAATTTCATTTTGGAGTGTTCTACAGCTACTTGAAATTGAAGGAGCAAGAGTGTCGTAATATTGTATGGATCGCAGAATGTGTTGCTCAAAAACATCGGGCTAAAATAGATAATTATATCCCTATATTTTAAATATGAATATTTAAACCGATAATGTCGATTGTTTGCTTCTCGACGTAATTTAATTTTTTTCGCATAATATACCTGTAAAATTATGCGGTAATAATCTAATTGTTATCAGAAAGAAGTTATTAGAAGTTATTTGTGTAATATCATAAAAATTATTTAGAAAATCAAGTAGATATATACAAATGTAAAGAGGTATCTCATTTTAATCGATCATTTCTTAAAACATTGTTTATTTTTAATTTTACTGAAAAATATTAATTATTTTATAGGACCGTATATGAGAATACAACTAATGAAAAACCAATGCCTTTTAATGGTCCAGCTGGATCTTGTATTATTAAATGCTCGTACACAAATCTGTATAAATTTATATACTACGTATGTAATCCTTTACAGAAAAAAATGTTTGAGATAAAAGTTGCACAGTTTGGAGGGATGCAAATAGTAGTAAAATTAATTAAAAAAATGTTTTAAGATCATATGAAGGATATCGTCATTTTTGAATGGAATTGTTTATTTTTTTCACATAAATAAGCCCTCTAGTTATTCTGCATATAAAAGTATTAGGTAAAGTTATTAAAAGTATCAATAATTACGAGATATTTTACTTGGCACATTTTAACATAAAATATAAAATAAATCAAAAATAAATTAAATGATAAAATAAATCATTAATACTTTTTATAATCGCATTAATTTTTTTATGCATAGAATGTAATGAAATGAATCAATTGGTATTAAAAAATGCACACTTTCTTGCTTTAAAAAAATATTCAGTTACATATTGCAAAACGCATTTTTTAAATAAGCAACTATGTATTTTTTTTACAATTAATTCATCTCATTATCTTACGCATAAAAGTATCAAGTTACGATTGTCAATAAATTAATGGTTTACAAAATATTTTATATTTAATCAAAAATGTTAATATGTGCCGTATTTAAAGTATATAAAACAACTCGAAAATTATTAATTTTTTTTATATTTCTTTATCAATGCTTTTATATACAGTATTGTTAGAGGAATCTTGTAAAAAAAAGGAATATGTAAAAAAACATCATATATCTCCATTAAAAAAAATGGTGATTTAAAAAATTGGTTTATTTCAAAAATTAATTTTACTGTATTATTTACGTCCTTTGAAATCATATAACTCTCGCGCCTAAAATATATTTCTGTAAAATTAAAAACAAATAAAATTTTAGGTTGACACACTAAAATAAGACACCTTATATATATATCTGTCAAACATTGATAAGCCAGTTACATATATTAAGAATTATTATATAATTTAGAGCATTGTTATAAGATTTTAAGCAGTATAGCAAAATCTATATGTGTACATAATAATTTTATTTTAACTTTCAGTGTAAATTATTATTATATTATAGCAGTTATATATAATATTGTTACAGGAATCGTGTAAAAAAAGGAATATATAAAAAAAACATCATATATCTCCATTAAAAAAATGGTGATTTAAAAAATTGGTTTATTTCAAAATAGATAATGTAGTAGTAGATATGTATGTACTATAACATAAATAAAAATATATTGCATTCCGTACAATTAATAACACAATCATTAATTCTATAATTTCAATTTGTATCATAATTTCTCAATTTTTTTGTGTTTTTCCACAGTAGGTGAAGAAGCAGGCACGGGCATTGTATTCTTACAGCTAGTTGTTAAATTGAATGATTGATAAGTTGCTAAACTTTTCAAACCAATCACTTCAGGATTCTCTTTCCAAAAACGGTCACCGATAATATCATCTACTAAAGGAACTATAGTAGGTTTTAATCTTCCTGTATTGTCGGGTACTAATTTCCGAATAAGTGTGGTACCTTTTCGAAATAATGACGGTTCATTATTATAGTTTATACCAAATTCTTGAAAAAGCAATTCGTTTTTATGTGATGCCAGTGTGCCTCTAAGTTTTTCCTGAGCCTGTAACATCCATAAATACTCTGGTTTCCTTTCAGATCACAAACATCCACAAATTAAAACAAAAAAATAAATTTTATTATATTTAATTTACATTTTTAATAAAAAATGAGCACACATAATTTGCTACAATATTCAATTATACAGATCTCTGTGTCTTGTCAAATATCTTATTGCATTTTACAAGAACGAATTCAAATGAATTTAATGAAATATTATAACATGATTTTTTTTTGTTTTTATACATATAATGAACATTTAATTATTAGGCCACAATTAATAATGTCATACAGAGTGTCCCAAATTATTATAAGTTAATAGGAATATCACAATGATTATTGTAGTTTTTCTACATTGATAATTTCATAAAAAAGATTGAATACGTAAAATCGGTAAAATAGCAAAAAAAAAAAACTCGAAAAAAAAGTTACAAATATTAGAGTCAAGGTCATCGGCGTGATGTCCGTTTTATCTATCCAAATTAATCCAAATATAATATATTGATTGATTATACGTGGCTTGAAAATAACACTAACAAGATAAATAATGAGCATATACCACTACACTGGATCTTTTTTTTGTGAGAAATTGTCTTTAATATAATTCAATTACATAAACGTTTTCAGTCATAAATGTGACCATCTTAAACGTTTTCGGTCATGAATGTGACCATCTTTATTAATTTATTCTAATATATTGCGAAGACTATCACGTAATTTTTGGCGTTTCGTCCCGGCTTCCACTACTGGACTCATCAGTAAGGCATCATCAGTGGAAGCCTACCTTAGACGCCTGAGATAGTTGTTTGATATATCTCTTTATATAGAATTTCGTATATAGAGATATACGCGGATTCGTATAAATATAATTATCAAAAATAACTTGAGAGATTCTTCATTTTAGAACGTTTCACAGAATCTGCCAGTGAAAGAATTCGCACTCTTTTTGGGACACCCTGTATAGAAAAGTAAATTATATGCAGAAGTTTCTTGTGATAATTTTGTTTTTACTCTTTTCAACAGCAGTTCAATTTGAAATACGCCTAATATTAATTAAAAAATCCTCTTATTATTTACGTTTACCTGACTTGGAGTTAATTTTCCTTTCAATATTAAATTCCAAAAACAAGTATTATATAAGTTATTGATGTGTACGTCAGCCTGTCGCCAAGCTAAATAATCTCTTAAATTCTTGTCTGTTGGATATAATACAATACGAGCATCAAACGACGGTGGATAATACAATTTTTTGTCCACGAAGAAGTATGGCCAATGATAAACATATGCCGAAGCAAATAATGAATTCACATTAGACATCAATTTTGACGCTGAAACAAAATAAAAAAAGCCATCAATTGGACACCTTGCTGGATGATGTTAATGTTCGCAATATTATAATTTTATAATTTCAATTTGGTAATTATACAGAATAGGTCCCGCAGCTCAAAAATCAATGAAATTAGGCTTATTCGACGCATCTTTGCAAGAAACGAAAGAATCTGACAGAAATAAGTAGTGAGTGAAAAGTGAAAGAGAATAAAAAATTGTAATAACGAAAGAATCTGAAATACGGCGAAAGAGAGAGGTTTATGGCTAATTTAATTGCAGATAAGTTACGGATAGCTTTATCCAGAAGATGCCTCCACTGTATTCTGGGAGATATCTTCTGGATAAAGGTTATCTAGAAGTGAAAAAATTAGGCATTATTCTTATTATTTACTAAATATTAAATAGGAATAAATGAGGAGGCATCTTGTGCATATGGAATTAATTTACTATGATTGCGAGAAGTTATCCCACACAACATAGTTGTCCAAGAGATGTCCTAAGGATGTTTGAAGGATATACAATCTAAGACAGGAGAACTATTCTGTAGGATTTATTTTAATAAGAATATTTAAAATATAATTTTTATTTCACTTCTTTTTCATGTTATAATATTTTATTTGGTTTTTTATACTACTTTGTTTCAGCTTGTTGCATATTTTATATATTTCAAGATTATGAAACTATTGAAACTTACTATGTACAGAAAGATAAAATGAAGCTCATAGCTCGTGAGTGTCTAAAGCCAACGCACATTGCACGTTATTTCTGACATTTCAGTGGAGAAAGCATTTATACCTGTAGATCTTAATAAGAAACCAAAAGCAACTCTGCAATTATATTAAATAGAATTTTACAACAGTTGCAAATAAGTAAGCTGCTTTCTCTGCTGAAACGTCTCTGCAGCTATTGTCATGATGAATACCTCTGCGTTTATAAAGCTGCGTATCTTTCCGGAATACAAACGAATATTCGTCGCTCTGGCCGAAACCCAATACAATCTCCTTAAAATCTTCCATAACAGTGACAGCAGCACGATTCATTAACTCGAGAGCAGCTACATCATTTGGCTTAACGAAATTGTGCGTATCACAAAATTTCGAGAAATTTCTGCCATCTATTCTAACGACAATCCAGCAATTTGGCAAGCAGTTGTCGTCTTTTTCGAACTCCTTCACATATTCAAACTTACTCTTAGCCATCGTCGTTCGACATAAATAGCGGCACGTCACCACTAATCGTTTAGCCTGATTAATCCTCGAGAGAATGCTCTTCATTTAGGTGTGGGCTAGTGCAGGCAATTGTTCAGTTTAGCACTCACAATCACAAAAATTAATACAAAATATACCCATTAATCAACACATTAAGTATAGTTGCTTTCCATTTACTCCGATTCTCAGATAATTCTCACTTGTGACGTCAGAACTCAGTTGAATGCGCGTTCCTTTCGCATTCTGAGAAGCGAGATTCAACTGGGTTTTTACCTACAAACTGCACAAGATCGAGACCGTGTGTTTTATTGAGTCTCGTAGACTCATTTTAAAAGTGAGGTTATAAACCTGTATTGTTATTTGTTACAGCAGAAAAGCAGCTGTATGTACACAATAAAAAGTCCTAGATATCAGAGAAGCGCAACCGGCTTAAGTCAGTATCGCAAAACTACTAAGAAAAGTACTAAAAATGGCGTCGTTTACAGACGAACTATGAAATCCACCAATCGTCTATTAGTCAGCCATTTTTAGTACCAACGAATGAATGTCATGATTGGCTGACAGTCACGCCAATCAGGACGCGTAATATCGGTTGCGCTTCTCTGATATCTAGGACTTTATTGTAAAGTGTTGTCTACGTTGGCCAAGCTTATCTCGTCGACGAGGACTTGGGCACTGAGCTAATCCGGCTAATATAGGCTAATATATAAAAGAAGAGGAAGATCGATCTTTACGATTTCGTTGCATATCTGGAAAATTAGCAAACGACGACAGCAAGAATGCTTGCGATTCGTAACGGACTGAGAAATACATCCCGTTTGTCAGGCGTTATTGCCAGAATGTACAGTAATTCAATCGTTAGCGCACCACCCGCAGTAAAAGTTTCCACTACTGTGAGTAGATTTCCCTTTTCAAATTCAATGTGTGTTAAATTACGTAAGAAAATATTCAACGCGCAATTAATTTTCTTCTGCTGTATTATATGTATTATATAATGACCTTTAAAGTCTATTTTACAATGTTTTCTTTGTTTCTTACTATTTACGTCTTTCTTCCTTTGTAACCATTTTATTGACAATTATATTTCTTAAAATTCAGGGAATGGAAGTTACTTCTAACGAAGTTACAGTTACAAGTTACTTTTTTTTTTAGTAACTGTAACAATAATGTAGTTACATTTTTCGGATAACGATAACGAAATTTACAGTTACTTTTATCGTTACTTTGCATACATTTGGATACATTATTCTGTTATATAACAATTACATGTTGTTAATTATAACAGCTATAAATGTGGTTATAAGACATTGAGTGTTTTTATTTAATACAAGCGTACAAGCTACATTTAGTTTAACTTGATCTAAACATCATACACATTTTGTTCTAATTGATCTGTGTACAAAGCTTTACTCTGTACATTTCTGTTGAGCAATTAGGAAACATCCCTTTTTACAAAACATCTGTTATATATTTTAAAATTATAGCATTATAATTTTCTTTCTATCAAAATATTTGATTTACAGCTGAAAGCATAGCTTAAGTAAAAATATATTATAATAAAGAGATTATGTGTATTTCTTAATTTTCCTTTTAATTTCTAACTTATATTGTGTTCAGATAATCCTAAACAATCTTTTATATAATCTTCTAGTTTTCTACAAAGTATAAAAAGATTCCTGAAATATTTTAGGTGTTAAATATTTAGGTGTTGTAGCGATCCTGAAGTAATCTATGACAGATGAGAAATATATACAGTACCATTATTTCAGGAATTTTTTGCACTTCTATCTTCTGTGTGACATCGGACATGTGTAAATCTCATTGTCAGTTTGCTGTATATTTTACAGGTTTTGAATTACAAAATTATGTTTAAAAAAAAAAACTAAAAAATAAAACTATAGTGTCAGTATTATACATGCTATATATATATATTGCTTTTTAAAGCTATATATATATATATATATTGCTTTCATTAACGTTTAAATAAAAAATACTGCAAAAGTACATTTTTAGACTGATTTTTAAAAAGTAACGAAAAGTTATTTTTTTGAGTAACGATAACTGTAACGAGTAACTGTAACTTGTTGCTTTTAAAAAATAACTTTATTTTCTGTTTCTTACCATGTATTTTTTATTCTTTTCTAAGTTTGTTGACTTTTATCTCTTGAGAAAACGAAAAAGAGATAAGAAACAAAATACGCATTGTAGAACAGGCTTAATTAACAACGCAAATTTTTTTATACAATTTCAGTTATAGCAAAGAATAATTTAGCTTTTAAAATTTACAAAAAGAAAAACATTTTCTAAAACATTTTATGGATAAATTTTGGATTAGTATCACCAATCACATTCTGAACACAAGCTAAAAATTATTGTTGTTTGATTGAGTACATTGTTTTACATTTAATTCATGAGAACAATATAAAGTCATAAATTTTCATTGAATTATCTTTCATCTTATCAAACAATTTCGAAATTAAATAGAAACAAAACTTGAATGATTTTCCTTCTCAAAACATATTTCATGTGTGAAAATGTATAAATTTACAAAATTATGAGGAAATTGAAGGAAAAAGAAATATAAATATCATTAAGAAATATTTATCTAATTAATTTTTATTATGCATTAATCAAAATGTTTATGTTACAGGAACAGATTATTTCATTTATTTGCATAACTGGAGCAATATTGTTTCCACCTATGTACATGGTTCCTAATTTCAAGAATTATGGTAAAACACCTGAATAAGGATGACAAATCAACAAAGAAAATTAGCTTTGAAATTAGATGTTTTAAAGATTTTATTTATGGTATGTATCCAATAGCATACATACATCCATAAATTTATTGGAAGTATGTCTGAATTATTAATAAATATTTAAACAATTAACGCTTTATATTATTATTCCATGGTAGATTTCATTATTTGTGTAACTTGTTTAAAATGATAAATTTCTCTACCCAGATATTAATGTAAAAATTTTACAAGAATAAAATTTAAAACTGAAGCACATACCTTTGCATAGTTCATAATGTATAAAACATAATAAGATAAATAAGAGTCTCTATTCTTGAAAAGAAACATGAAAAACTAGAGAAATATTGTAATGTGTAGTAGAATACTATAGCATTTTTGTAGTATATGCTGCTGGAACATTATTCTAATGCTAAGGAATGTTGCTAGAATTAAACACTCCACATGATTCGTATATTCCCTTGTAATGAACATAAATAGAAATAAATATAGACAAATTCTCATCGATATTGTCCAGTCTCCACTGCTAGAAAGTAAACTCAGACCACTGTATTATTAATGCAATGACAATATTCAATTTAAGGTTTTTCTACTTTAAAACGTACAATAATTTTTAAAAAAGAAAAACTCCTGTATAATTAAAATAAACTTGGAAAGAAAAGGGCACTAAACAAAACTTATTTATTATAATTGTGCTACGGCGCCATATCGGCGCCGAATTAAAGCAAATGTGGTAAGATCTTAACGTGCCTTCTCATGCTGATATTTAATGCTCATTTTTAACATTAAAATATATTATGTAATCAAAATTGACGATTCATGGTCGTCGATATTATTTTTCCGATTTCAAACGGAGCCGTTACATAAATATTCAATTTCGCGGAGACAGCATTTCGGATATGTAAGATTGTTGTTTTTAAAGCAGTGAATTGTTGCTGGGGGATTGGTGGAATAGATGTTGCCTCACATAGAGAAAGTCCTACTATCGATCCATTTTAAATCTCCCATCTGCCTACAAGTCATCCAACAAAGCAGGGAAATAATTAGCAACTTTCAATTCTTAATAACTTTTTAACGAATGACGAGCGACGGCTAAAACGTGTTGGAGGTTACTCAGGGTCATGACCTTGACAACCATAGGTCAAAATCATCAGAGCTGCTTCCGTTATTGTCAAGGTTTACCCATTTTTTCGTATCTTTCATATTTCCCATAGATATTCGGCCCATTATGCTTGAAATTTTTCACCCTGTTTAATAACTTACCTGATCCTGATTATTTTACGTACACGCAGTGTTGCTTATCTTTATCTTTATTTGAATTTACAAAACGTAATTTTTAAATAATCTTTTTTCTAGACTTTTTCAATCTTGATTTTTATTGCATGATATTGTCCGTGCATAATCGTCTCTATGGCGAGATCAGGATAGTAGTGTCTCCGGCCATGTTCAAAAAGTGAAAGACACTACAAATCTCTTATCCGTTCTGGAGATAGCGGTCAAAAAGTGATGATTTTAATGAAAAATTAAGAAACGTCTCTTTCTTTTTCTTCTTCTCCTTCTTCTCTGTCCGCATTCACACACACACACACACACACACACACACAAGGCCGTATTAAAACTTTCTAACATCCCCTCTCACCTTTCACTCACACCTTCACCATCTTCGACCCACCGGACCTTCTTCCCCCGCCCTTCCCCCTCCCCCCATCACTCCTCTCTTTCGCCGTATTTCACTCTCTTTCGTTATATAATATTTTTAAATTATTTAAAAAAATTTTTGAGTATCCTTTTTTGAACATGGCTTGAACTTTTCATTTTTATGATATGATTTTTTTCGGATCGTCTTATTCACCACATATAAATTGTAGAATTTTTTTTCAAATGACAGCTGTGTATGTAAAAAATAAATAAAAAAACAAGTGTAAAAATAAATTTAATTTCTTTCGTGTTTTTGATAATGAAAACCAATATTTGCAATAGTTATTTTTGTGCTTTAATCATGTAGAAGAATTTTACAATTCTGTAAACTTAGTTCAAAGATATTTTAGAATTACGACGTCGCGGTAATTTCACTTTAGGATCCTTTAAGGAGTGAAAGTCTTAACAATATATTTTAATTTGATTGCAACAAATCTTCTTCAACATATCACATTAAAGTTGTCAAAGTATAGGAAGAACAGCTCTTTTTATGCTTTTACCGCCGACGTGATACAGCAATTTGATAAACGGAATTGTATTTAGCCATCAAAACAACAGAAAATGATTATCTACTCTTATATGGTCGAAATTCTTTTTTTTTTTTTATTTATTAAACAATGTTATTTGAGTTATCCACTCTGAAAATCACGGGGAATATCATTCAGTATTAACTACCTATTTCAAAACATTCTGAATATAATCATAATATGTAATATTTTGCTTCATCTTCAATATACGTTACTTCTGTTTGTAGGCGAAATTTGATCTTTTCCGAATTGTTATTCCAAAGCTGTCTTTTCTTTTTCTGGAAA